AAATTTTCTGCAGTGATGTTTGCTGAGGACATGTTGTCCACTGAGAGGACAGAGCAGACGTCCAAAACAACCGAAACAGACACACAGCATCTGCTGAACATGCAGGTTGCATTAGATCTGCTCTGACCCTGAGAACTCTGCGTACTGACCTTCTTCTGTCTCTTCTTTCAGAAACCACAGAGCATGGATCCAGGAAACGTGATCAGTGAGTAGACCTTCTATCAGCAGATAAACTGTGTCCAATCACAAGCTGAACGTGAGCTGTAACGCTCCCTGTTTCTCTTCTTTCTCTGCTTGTTTACGGTCGTCAGCAGCAACGGTGGCGTCGCAGCTACGCAGGAGGAGAAGGTGAAGGCCAAAGATGAGACGCAGTGGAAGGAGATCAACGCCGCCGTGGCCTTGACGAACTTGGCCCAGGGGAAGGACAGCGTCTCTGGAACAACCAGCTGCATCATCCAGAAGTCCTCTCATATCGCCGAGGTGAAGACGGTTAAAAAAGCTGCGGCTGAACTCTTAGCTCTGACGTTCTCCTCACATCCGGCCGTAACAAGCAGCAAACATTCCTCTTTTCTTATCAAACCTGATGACGTGAAACCCAACGCCTCTTTAAACAAAGAGAACTGTTTCTTTAGGAGAGAAAAGGGTTTGTTTAAAACTGAAGAAGAAATCATTTGGTCTCATTAAGATTCCTTTGAGTAGCACCCCCTCACATTACCAATGCCTTAACTTTCCCTTTCTTGTACCAAGAAATATATTTTTAATCTAACCCTTTTTTATTATAATTATTTTATATATAAATGTGTTGTATTTTCATAAGTGATTTTTTTAAACAGAACAGCTTGCTGAATTTGAGCTACATAGAATCATCTCTGCTCAAATCCTCCTGCTTCAATAATGAGAGCTGAGGGTTGAGATTCAAAATGGCCTCATTTTTGTAGAAAATACTTTTCTTAACGGTGCTTATGTTATAAATGTTTTCACAGTTGTAAAAAAGAAGTCACATCCCTGGGAGAAAGTGAAGTTGGCCTGCTGTGCTAACTTTTAATTTAATATGTCTCTGAGGTACTCTTTATATGTTTTGAAACCTAAAGTGCTTCAGGAATTGCTCAGTTTGGGTTTTACGACATTCAGACTCTTATGGTCAAGGACTCTGCAAGAGAGTGAAGCTGTGCAGTAACTATTTTTTTTTTTTTACATGTCTTGAATGTTTAACAGAAATCTGCACTTAAAGTTCATGAAATGAAGGACAACCTTGCATTATTGCAGTTAGTGTTCCTATAGAAGTAGAAGGAAATGAGTCAAAGTTTCCAATCCTCAGGCTCTGCTGGCTGCTTGTGCAATGAGGCTGCTGGCCTCCTACAGGTGATTTTATTCATCAGATTCTGACAGGGTACCGGCTGGGAAGAACTAGATCCGTGCCTTGTCTCTAAACCTCTGTGCCGCTCATTTTCATTCACTTTTCACACACTAGCTACATGCTGGGAGGAGGCAAAGAGACTGTGAGTCTTTGTTGCCTCTGCTGCAACAACAGACCTGTCACAATACGTTCACACCGGAAGCAGCAGGAGCAGCAAAATCGCGTCTGCTGCTTCATTTTTGTTGCTTATACCAGTTTAGTTCTGACGCGCGGCTGAAGCAGCTTTGCTGCGTTGGGCGGAGCTACCCTATCCTTTCTTTGCCTTGCAGCTATATTTGCTGTGATCAGTGAGAATAAAGTAGTTTTATTATGTTTTTAAGTGAGAAAGTCCACCTGAAAACGTAATCACTGCAGTCAGTTCATCCAGATTACAACCCTGCCTTCCAATATTAGTTCTGTCGGAGCCGCTCAGACCCCCACATACCAGCGGTGCGCTGTCAGTAGGAATCCCATTCATCAGCAGCCTCTGGCCGGGTCGCCTCCTCGCGGTTCACCGCGGCAGCTGGTAGGTGTTTTTCATCTAAATAATCCAAACTGCAGGCAGCAGGATAATAAAAGCGAACATATTATGTCGGCAGGTTTCAGCATTTTACGTTAATTTAGACGTTAATAAACTGTTTCAGAGAAGCGATCACAGCGCTCTGTGTCATCAGCAATGTGTCTGTCTCCCTGCCAGCTCCCAGATCAGCGTCTCTGATTGGTTGATGCGGCGCGTCGAGCAGCAAAAGTTAAAATTTTCCATCTCGAGCAGCAGGGCGTTTGCGCCTGCTGGTCAAAACGCGCTGCGGGACCTTTTGCTGCGCCTTGACGCGCGTCAACCATTGACTTTCCATGTAAATTCGCTGCTTCTGCTGCGCCTGCTGCATCCGGTGTGAACGTAGCATTACAGAATTATCCACGAGCCATGCTGTGGGCCAGCCTGTCTGAGGCGTTCTACAAGACTGAACAGCAGATTCATCATTTCCTCTGACAGGGATCCAATCAGATCCTCAGAATTCTCTGGCTCAGTCTTCATACTTCCTGCTGGATTTCACTTTTACACTTACTAAGCCAGTTTGAGTGTTGAGCCCCGCTTAACCATCTCTATATTGGCCAGCCAACAGAACACCGTTTGGGTCAACAGTTGCAGTAGTAAATGACTCAGTCCTTTTGTAGAGTCTAAGGTTCATATCAATGAAGTAATTCATGGTCTATGATCTGGACCAGAACCGATGCTTTAACAGGGAAAACCTTGTTCTCCACCATCAGAAGGGACATTATGGGCATTGTAGCATCATCCAGTATATCAGGACCTGTAGGCATAAAACATAAATTTGATCATTTTGCTGTTATTTCTATTTATGTCAACTTTTTTGCATAACTTTTTTTTATTTAGACGGAGACTGGATATTTAGTCCAACGACTGAGTGTTTATCTTTTTACATTGTCTCATTTGTTTTGTTCTTTTTTCACTTTGCTTTATAACAATGAAAAAAAATTTTCAATAAAATGTGTCGCATCATTTTACACATTGAGTCTCATTGATTTAAATATATATAACATTTTGCATTTAAGAAGTTGCCAGAAAAACAGAAATTTAGGTAGATTTATACATTATCATGGACCAGTCTCACCAGAAATAAATCCTCACCAAAGGTCCGTACTCAGTGTGCCGTAACTAGCATTGGGGGAAGTTTTCACCCCATTTTCTAAATCTTCTTTTATTTATTGTCATTTTGTAAACAGACTCCTGTCCACAAGCTTTGGATAACTTCTTAAGGAGACCTATTTTGCACACGATCCTAGCTCAACCCCTATGTGAAGGTGTTAATTTTTTGAAATCAAATCAAATTAATTTGAATTCAATTGATTCCATATGGCTGTTTGTGTAATACAAATTGTTAGTGCCATATTTGCAACAATAGGCATCAGGGGGTCAACTGTCATGGTCTTGGCACTGATGGCTGGATGTGGCTTTTTTCTCCTAACTGCTTAGCTCCACCCAATGCTTATTGCCGCTCATCTGATCCATGTGTTCCTGATTTATATTTAAGCCACCGGTTTCCAGCCATCGGTGCCAGATTATTGGAGCTGAGTTCTTGAATTCTGGAATCCTATGTTCTGAGCTCCTGCCACAACTACTTAGCTAACAAAAGAGATAAACTATTATCTCAGGCTGGAAACCCCACAACTTTCACAAATGTCATAGATTTAGAAAATCAAGCAAATTGATCCTAATTAGAGGTTCACAGCACTGGAAAAAATCAAAATCTAGAAAAGTCATTTTTTCTTAAAATAAGTGACTTTTTCTTGGATTGAGGAGGTAAAAGAGACATTTTGCCAATGGAACAAGACAATTTACACTTAAAATAGGAAAACACAATTGCATTGTCTTATTCCAAGTGCATATTATCTAATTATCTTATTTTAAGAGTAAGAATATTCATTCCATTGGCAAACTATCTCATTTACCTACTCAAATTAAAGGTAAATACACGTAATTTAATTTTTGCACCCTCAAAGATTAAAGGGATCAACACATATGAATCATAAGACACTCTGAGAACTAAAATAACTGAAACCAGTTGAGCTTCACTGCAACATTTATCCACCTTAAAGTACTGAGAGAGTGGAACATTAAACAATTCATTTTTCACCTCTCCTGTCAAGGGTTTCTGCCGCCTTTCAGCCATAAGCTCCTGGAGATCACCGGCCCTCTGTGACCCTGACCAGTAAGTGGTTGTAAATGGAGGGTTTTTAGCAGGTCTGGAGTAATAATTGCCTTTAAGACAAAACAAGTTTCTTTATATCCAAAAACATACAATTCAATCATAGACATGATCCCTTCCAGATATCACCAAATCCCCAACCCCATCAAAGGGGAACGAGGGACCTACCCGCTCCAGCCGGTGAACAATACCTCCTTAACGACTGACCCTTAACAATCATAGACAGGTTTCAGATATTACAGGCTAACGATTGGACCAAACGACCCATTCATCGGTTACCATTTGCATGTTTCCAAGCGATGCAAGGCTTTGTCTATATAAGGCCCCGTCCACACGAAGTCAAAACGAACACGAAACGCTGATATTTTCCAAAACGTTTCTCGTTAAGACGGAGACGTAAAATAAATGTGAGCGTCCACACGAATGCATGAAAACGCTGCAAAATGTATGCCAGGCCTGTAAGTGGCGCTGTGGTGCCAAAGCAAAAATAAGCGACGAAATGTTGGGCATGCGCACTAATATTTATACATGGTTGCCCTGCGGGTCCATTTTCGTGGTTCAGTCAAATTCAGGTGCTGAACTATGTCGTCGATATTGCTCTGTTCTTCCTGGAGATATTCCAGAAGAAGAAGATTCTGTTGTAAGCCCGACAGCAGGGTGAGTAGCATGAGCAGCAACCATTCAACACAGTACGGCGCCATTGTTGTTGTGATACTGTGTCGCGCATGCGTGTTTAGAGGCGACGCTATGATGCATGCGTGTAAGAAAAAAAATGCGGTTAGAGCTTAAAAATGGAAACGCGAAAACGGCGTTTCAGAATCTTCCCACTCTGAAGGCTGAATAAAAAAAAGATCGTTTACAGACCCCCGAAACGCCAGCTTCGTGTGGATGAGAGGCTGGTTTGGTGAAAAATTTGTGCGTTTAGGCCAGGGTTCGGCTTCGTGTGGACGGGGCCTAAGACTCAAACTCACTGCGGATACAGACATTTTTGAATTGAGAAAGCTTCCTGGAGAGGTGGCGAAACGTCTTCAAATCTTGGAAACCAAGTCCAGTGGATATTTTTTGAATTTTTACGGAATGACTATGACCTGGATGACTGAGAACCTTCATCAGCATAGATTCTTTATATAGCAGATTTAAGCCACATGATAATTCAACGTGCTGTACATAAGCGGATAAAGGGAAAGTACATTGCAGTGGTTTAAACGCAACATAAATGATTGGCGGTAATAAAAATTAATTAATTAAATAAGATAATTATATTAAAAACAGATCAATTTATTGACAGAAGTTTTTTTTATCTGGATTTAAAGCAACTGAGGGATTCTGCATTTTTACAGTTTTCCGGGATTTTATTCTAGATTAGTGGATTTTTTGGAACTCACACTGGAAAAAATCTAAATCTAGACAAGTCATTTTTTCTTAAAATAAGTGACTTTTTCTAGGATTGTGGAGGTAAGAGACATTTTGCCAATGGAACAAGACAATTTACACTTAAAATAAGAAAACACAATTGCATTGTCTTATTCCAAGTGCATATTATCTAATTATCTTATTTTAGGAGTAAGAATATTCATTCCATTGGCAAACTACCTCATTTACCTACTTAAATTAAAGGTAAATACACGTAATTTAAGACATTTTTACTTATTTGTAGATTGTTTTTCCAGTACAAAGCTTCTTCTCTATATTTGGTTTTGGTATGCCGATTAGATTTGAGCCTAAAGAGCCGGAGAAGTCTGGGGAGTTGATATCTGGATAAAAAGTAAAACATCTGTAATGTTTGTTGGAGCCAAGCAATTTGGTGTTTTATATAATCTCGCAGAAGTCTATCCATTGTGATATGGAGAGCAAAAGGAAGGACTTCAGAACTGGCTTGATGAGCTCAGCTTTCTAAACATGTTACTGTAGTTATAGTGAGGATACAGGTAGCAGCATTCTGGATCAACTAGAGCTGTCTGAACGACTTTTCAGTTTGAGTTGTGAACACGTTCTTTCGTGATCAATTCCAGTAAAGATAAACACATCAATTAGATTGGATCCTGCTGAGACTTTTGTTAGGTTTATTCAATGATGATTATTAAAGTAATGTGTGCTCATGAAACATTTGTGCGAGGGGATGCTCCACTCCTGTCTCATGATTCAGTCAGGACACCTTCCTTCCTTGTCATTCTGATGGAGCATTCTGTCTTTATGAACTGATCAATTGTTCTGTCAGAACAATACTCTGTTTGTAACCATGTATCATGTTCTGTTAATAAAATGCTCTGCGGAGGAGGTCCAGTGGGAGACAGTGTGTTTGAGTCTGGGGTTCAACTGTCTCTCCTTTCTGCAGAAATTGTATCCATAATTGTGTATTTCAGTTCTTCTATTGCAAAAACCTACATTTTATGAACCCGACAGCTTTAATCCTGGAGATGTTCTTTAGATGATAGAAAACCAGATTTGTTACACTGCAAAAAATCAAAATCTTGATAAGTCATTTTTTCTTAAAATAAGTACATTTCTTCTTGAATTGAGGAGATAAAAGACACATTTTGCCAATGGAACAAGAT